TGAGGGATGTGTGTGTGTGCGTGTGTGTGTGTCCACAAGTCTTTATCAAGTCTGTGTTCTTTCCTTATCAAGTTTATATAGAAACATATAAAACAAAATAAAGCCGCTGATGCATATCAGTTGTGAGGCCTCTCATTTGTGTCCATCGAGACGTTTGCCTCTTGCATCAGATAGAGTTGGCAAATGTTTGCTTGTTTCTTTAAGGTCCAACTTAGGAGTTGGCTTCAGTGGAGGCTGTGACCTCCATGCCCTTTGCAGAGGGTTAGCTGCAGAGACTAATCTCAGGAATCCAAGAGCAACTTTCCATAGATGCTCCCAACCACCCTAAGTTCATAGGAATGAATTTCATATCTCACAAAGTGTGTGGTCTTTGGAGATAGGTAGATACCGTTCCAGATTTTTTTTCATTGCTTAGCTTTATGATCCTGGGAAAATTATTAACTTCTATTAACCTCAAATGGACTCATTTGTAAAGTGAATTTAATAAAATCTACCTAATAGTGTTGCCTGACCAAGTTATGTGGGCTTAGCAAATGAAGTGAGAGACGCCAAGTGCATAGCAGTTAGTAGAAAGTAAATCCCTAATTTGTTTTTGTTGTAGATAAAAGTATTTAACAATTTTGAGTACAATCATCCTAGAAGTATCCAAATGGAGTGACCAGTAGGCAACACCAGCAGTTATAGGCAAAATACATTATGATGAGATAGGTCCTTAATAATGATTTGATCCAGCTCCTTTACTTAATACCTCCAGACCATTAGGATCAGCCAACAACCTTCACAAGGACACCAGCCAGACAGTGTCCGAGATTTGATGAATGAAGACAGCTTCCCTTATGAATTAAAAATGTCATTATTGGCTCCAAATGAGTACACTGAAGCTTAAAATAAAGTCCCACTGAGTGAATGATGGTTCTGGCCTTTCGGGTAACTAGACCCTCCCCCTACTTTCTCACATGACAAGGATAAATAATAGCTCATGTGTAAAAGCCGCATTTCAGCAGATTTCTGACATATAAGCTAAAGGGTTTGGATCACCTAGTAAAGGTTTTTAGAAACATTACAAACAATATCACAGAGTACTTTGTTTGTAATACGCGGGCTCCGACCGATAAAGCAATGCAGTCAAGGGAAACTGGAGGCCACAGGAGAAAAAAGGGCAGAGGAAAGAAGAAAAATGAAAACTTGCAGTTTAGAGAACATGCATTCATTAGATTGAGAATGAAGAAGAGAAAGCTTATTTTTTGCATAATTCTGTACCTGTGTGAAAACTGCTAGTCTAGTTTTTCCTTTAAAATTTCCAGGAGTGGAAACAGGACTCTGGGGCTATGTGAAGAGAAAAGACAGAGAATTCAAATGGATTCTCCAAACTAAGCCTGTTCAACCATGGGACATCTTTAGGACTCTTCCAAAGAAGCACTATGTACTCCCCTCACTTCTGCTGATGATAAGTGCCACAGCAATATACTGTAAACACCTTCCTATGAAAAGCAGCCCAATCTCTGTCTATTGATTGTGTTTATGCATACATTTCAGATAACCGAAGCTCTAGTGCATCTCTGTATTGGGAAATCTCTGTGGATATGATTGACATTGTGTACTTCAGATGCAGTTCTGTGATGAATGGGCTAGAATAAAGACTTTTGATTTCTCTTTCAAGGCTCTTATCTGTATGCACCTAATATGAAACAACAAACAGATAAACTGCTTGGAAATCCTTCAGAGTGACTCAGTGGTAAAAATTAGGACTCTTTAGAATCACGTAACTTCTTATTATTGTTAAAAAATAAAGTGAATAGTGACCCTATTAGTGTCCCGTGCATTCTTATCTTCTGAATGAAAGTTCTCCCATTATAAGGTTCTTTAAACATACCTACTATTGGAAGACTCTCCTCAGTAACATATTAAGCAGCTATTTTGCATGGGAGGAGATGCACACCTCAGTCACTATTTATACCCCAGCATGTGAGCACAGGAAGGCCGTGTGATCTGATGAGCATTCGGCAGCTTGGCTGAGGCATGACTAGAACTAGAACTCCATGTTCTCAAACTCCTGCTCTCACTTTAATCAAGTATCAAGTCCCATTATTTCTTCTTATGTCAAAGAAGTTAATATTATATGTAAAAGGGTTTTTCTTTTAACACTGGCCTAGCATGTCTACATCTGAAATTAACTAACTCCCTCAGGGTAAATCCAAAGAATGCATTGTAGCTATTTAATATCCTGAAAATCTGGAATGGGGGAATTTCCAGAGTTTTTATTACTGGTTGGTAATTATATTCTCTGCACAAATTTATAATATCTATACTGTAGCTGGCCTTCTAACCTGACTTTATATTACTTTTGTTTAATTAGAAATATATAAAATCTGTAATTCGGTCAGCGTTCATTTTTCTCCTGCTATAAGTGTCCAAGTTTTGGTAAGATTATGAGAAAATTACACACACACACATCCTACACACAATAGCAACAACAACACATTCTTATTAGAAGAATTAAAGCAAAAGTTAATTTCACTTCAACCAAGTTCACAGGCTTGCAGACCCCATGGAGCATCTTGGGGCACTGGTCCATTTCTGAGGCTGCCGTCACAAATGACATGAGCTATTATTTCAAAATATTGAAAGAATAAACTTGAAAAAAAGAATATCTCCAAATAATTTATAAATGTGTACACCTTGACTGTTTCTCGATATATGAATATGAATGTTAATGGATTGGACTAGATGGAAAATCAAAGCCCTGTATTTAATGGATAAAGAATGTGGAAACGGATGTCAGGGGAGAACTATAGACTGTTCTTTTTTGTTTTTCCTGAGCAGTTCTGCATCACAGGTCCTGGAGACTACCAAGATGTACTGAGTTCAGAAGTAATTTTCTGCTGCTAGTCTAGTGTTCACTCATGTATACATTTTGTTCAGCATCACAAAAACATTTATCATTATTCTTTAGCAATATTGACCCTAAAATATTGAGCATGCAGGGTGCATTCAGTGGAAATGTTGATTGGAAATCAGGACATTAAACTGTCAGTAATGAAGTATAAAAGCTCATTAGCACAAAGTTTCATTTCAAATTTCATAACCAGCTTTATTGCTGCACTCATAATGATAAACATGAGGCCTAAATCCATACCACAGAGGTTTTATAAGCATTGTTATACCATATCAACCACAATTCAATTAATACATAGAAAACGTCATTCAACAAGTTATATTTTTCCTTGCTCTTAAGAAACTGTGCTACATAAGAAAGCCCAAATCATATTCCCATTAAGTATGTTCTATCCATTTTACCCTCATTCCTCACTCCATCTTTGTGTATCTTCAGAATATTCACTATTTTCAGATAGGTAAATGTGCTAAAAGGAAAACTGCGATTTCTGGGCCACACCTTTGCATCATCGGGACAATACTGACCCCTAGTGTTCAAGGAGGCAGAGAGACTAACTCAGCTCTCACACCGAACTTCCTCTTACTAAAGGACTTGGATGTTTCTCTGAAGCACCACGGGAAGGAACACTTTCACTTAAAAGAAAAAGGAGGAGGAGGAGCAAGGTTAGGAGGAGGAACATAATTAGATTATAACCTGCTTTTTCCTATTCTTTGAAATAATTTCTAATCGAAGGCCAGTAGGACCTCTGTTTTAGAGGTTGACCTCTTCAGCCCTGCTTTAGAATTCAAACTTGAATAAAACCTTCAGAAGGCATTTTTACAAACTATAGATTTTGAATCGCTATAATTTCCAATTCCAGAAACACTCTTTCTGCTTTGGACCGTTTTTAGTAAAAAACAGTGGTCTAATTTTCTTCTCTTGAGGTATAGCTCTGGGTTGAGTATCTTACTCCAGGCCTTCTCAGACCTAAGAAGGAAGGTGGGAGTAAGAAGGACTCACAGCAGCGAGCTGTCTTACTTACAGAGATAGTTCAGATTGCAAAAAAAGAAAAAAAAGAAAAAAGAAAAAGAAAAGTATTAAAATGAACCAAAATGATTACACGTTTCTGTGGTTCCAGCGGGGTTAGCGGATAAGGGAACCAGCCCAGAAAATTGAAGAACCTTGGTAAACCGTCTTTGGAAACACACAGATGGCTTAATTACATTCTCTCTCATTTAGGAGTTTCCAGAGCTGGAAAACTTCCCTTTCTCTGCCCAGAGAGGCAGCTGAGCAATTGAGCTTAAACCTCTGATGGTTCCACAGATTTATTCAAGTTTGACAAACTGAGTTCTTTAAATACACGGTGCAGGTGGTGGATCCCCAGGTGTCCAGCCTTCCTGCCTATTAAATTAAATGCTCTGCACTTGCGGAGGTTAGAGCTTGGAAAACAGAGCGTGTGCATTTAGTGCACGCTCATTATGTGTTCTTTGGCACAAAGATTTGGGGGGTGGGGAGTGCATCAGAGCTCTTCCTCCTGTACCAAGAACAGCCATTGATCTTGTGGTTTGACTACACGGGGCCTCGACTCTCAGGCCAAAACTACTAATCCTGTTAAGCCAATGCCCATTGGTTGCCAGATACCCCAACTGGCGCCTTCTGCCTAGAGAGCTGAGACCATGTCTTGTGAGGCACTGGGCACCTTGCAAACCCGAGGCAGCCGCATTCAGTGGCGAGCTGTGGTCACCCGGTGCGGTGGGTGGGAGAATGTCTATCCCTGGAGCTCAGCCCCTGGCGGCGCAGACAACCCGAATCAGGGGCCTTCTCAGGAAAAGCCATGGCTGAGATCACACGGGCAGGGAACGCGGGGCCAGTGGGAGGCTAAGGGAGCAGACCTCTCCCGTCTCCCTGAACTTTGCGATTGGGAAGAGGGCAGAACATCCAGGGGGGCTGGTTCATTCCAGCTCTGCTAACTTTTGGGATGGTTAGTGATAGAACCACACTGATCAGCATTTCCCCCTTTCCTCTGCTCTCTGCTCGGAGCAGACACAATCGAACACGCTTGTCTTTCCAAATGCTAGCGTCTCCCGTCTCCCCTACCCACCCTCCGCTCCTAATGGATACTTACAATTTGTCGCTGTGAATCCTGAGTGCCACAAGCCAGGGAACAGCAAAGTGAAAACGCTGATCAGCAGTGGTATAGAATCCATTTCCCCCGAGTAAGCGGTCTCTTCGAACGGAATCCCAAATTCGCAGGCGCCCGCCGCCGCTCCTCCACCCCGCGCGTCTCTGCTTCCTCTGCGCCGCCGACCCCTTCCCACCCACCCCCTCGGAGAGCCACTCGCGGCTTCACTCCATCCCGCGCCCAGAGGCTCTGCCCAACCCGCAGCCGGTCTTCCCGGAGCTGAGGCTGGAGCTCCAGTCCCCGCGCCTGCCGCTGGCGGAGCTCCCCGGCCTCGCCCGCCGCCGCCTCCTCTCCCCCTGCCGAAAGATGCAAATCCGAAGCCAACTGCAACCACAGGCGCCCACTCGGTGGATGCCGGAGCTGCAATCAGCACCCGGCCGCCGGACAGCTCCTTATAGGCGCGCCGGCTGCGCGGCGCCGCCCCCGCCCGGCCCGCCCCGCGCTCCGCTCCGCCAGCGGCTGGGCGCCTGCCCCCGGGCCCGCGGCTGCTCTCCCGCGGCGGAGCGCTCGGTGCGGCGGTGCGGCCGGGGCGGCGGGGCGGCGGGGGCGGCGGGGCCGGCGGGGGCGGCTGGGCCGGCGGAGCAGCAGGGCGCTCGGTGCCGCGGGCGGTGGGGCGGCGGGGGCAGCGCGGAGACGCGAGGGGCTGGCGCAGGGGACCTCTCTGCCTCAGTCTCTCTTCCCTCCCCGCGCCCCTAATTTGGGGCTGAGTAAAGGTACTGTAATTGAAACCAGGTGTTGGGGGCACGCTGCTGGGAGTTGGAGACAAACGCATCAGCAAGAACAGCCCGCGGAGAGATGTGCAAAGAACTAAAGAGGGGGACGTTGGTTTGGGTTGTGTATTATTGTTTGTTTGTTTGTTTGTAGGGAAGACTCGAAGAATGTGATGTTATTTCTCCGGTGTTTTTCCTGTAGGATTGCAGACGGATGGGTGTTTATGAAGCTGAGATTTCTGCCTTGGCGGTTGAACATGACGTCTGCCCCTCTGCTTGGCGACCCTGCATCCTGCTGCCCCGGCTCATCCTTTCACCCCACCCTTGGGTAGGTGCTGCCAGGGGCCGCGCCTTGGGTCCTGGAGCCCAGGTGGTTCTCTGGCGCCTGAGAGATGGTGGGACGAACGGCTTTGGTAAAGGTGAAAGGCTCATCGCATTTCACATCTGAGGCCTCCGCTGGAGGGATTTGAGTTAAAAAACGGGGGGGGGGGGGGGGCGAAAAGAGTAGTTTAGGTTTTCCTCCAGGATCCCTGGAGGTTCTGTCTGTGGCTTCCAGTTTCCATCTGGTGACTCTCCTGCTTTACCGTAAATCAACTTATTCTGTTTTTATTGGGAGCTGTCAGAAAGCCCGTCAAACGCTAACCCAATGAGGGACCGCAGTGATTTTTCCTGTGTGAAGGCTTGCGATCAAGTTGGGGTCGAATCACGTCAGAGGAAGTCGATGTCTCCCTCCTCTGCTCCCCAGCACCTGCAAATAGGCTGACTTCGCCGAGAGATTCGGGACAGCCCCGGTCTCGCGGCCCGCGAGCTGCGCAGCTACCGCCCAGCAGCTGGCCTTCCGTGGCCGCTGCAGGGTCCCGAGGTTCACCAGCCGTTCCGGCGAGCGGACTCTCGTCATGGGCACACTAACGATATCCAATGACAACTGCATTAACGGCATTGTTCTGTTATTAGAGAAAGAATTCTGAGGGTCTTCTCGCTTGTTAAGTAATTGACCCTCTTGTCTTTAAGCTTCCAACAGAAAGTAATTTAGTTACTAGACTCCTGAGCAGGGGGAAGAGTTCCCCAGCACAGGCTTTAGCTGTGGGAGAAAGCCATGCCTGGAGATTGTGAATACTGGACACCACAGTGGAGGTGGTCCCAGGGGCTGTCCTGTAGACAGGGCTGGTGAGGAGGGGCCTGGGGTTCAAATGCCAGTTCCGTGGGCTTTCTTCTCCTGCCGAGGGCTCCCCGGGCTGCCCGGATCCCAGGTTTCAAAACATGTATGTGGCTAGTTTAACCATTCTAGAGAGTCTAGAAAACAAAACAAAAAAACGAACCATTATCTACCTTTATATGTTCTTTAACACAGACATGTTTAAAGGAAATGCTGTACTGCAAAAGTAATTTGTCTTTTTACACCCTTGCCCTATCTCATTCATCTCCCATCATATGCAAAGTGAACACCTTTTTGTATTCCTATAGATCATATTTCTATACATTTACCACACATGTTTACAATCCCAAACAATATAGCATTGTTTTGACTGCCTTAACCAATATAAAAATGGCATCATGCTGTTTCATTTTGCATTTTGCCATTTATTTGCTCATTATATTTTTGGAATTTGTGCATTTGGATACATGTAGTCCTAATTCTTTCATTTTATCTGCTGTGTGATATTTCATTTTATGAATATACCACAATGCATTCATTAATTTTTCTGTTTATTAATCTACAGATCATTTCACCCCCCCCCCCCAATATGAATTATACAATCTCATACCTATCTCTCAGCTTTTCTCCAATTTATGCTTGGGAGTAACTGTTTCGATCACAGAAAATGCTTACCTTCAGCGTTAGCAGTATTGACAGTTTATCTATGATATGGTGGTAGCGGTTCACACCCCTCGGCCACCAGCAGCGTGTAGATCTCCCCTTGCTTCACACGCTTCCCCCACCTCAGGACCTCTCTGCTTACAAATGGGAAAATGATGCTCATAGAACACAAGCCTTCAGTCGCTGAGGCTAATGTCCACTCCATCATCCCACTTTCCACACCTCTCCAAAAACCATGTGGCTAAACAAACTATTTCAGAAATTATGGATGATGTTGTCTTTATTTTCTGACAGAATGACTTGAAATGAATCTGTGTCAATAAAATGTGCTTGGATTGTATATTAAGAGGCAAAGAGGGACATTTGTCACATGGAGCTCCCGAGCCGTAAATGATCTCCCGGTCATTAGTGGACAGTGGAGTCCCGCATCTGTAGGTATCTCTATGCAGACCTAGTGTCTAGTACATAAATTGCACCTAAATTGAAGTTCTATTTACAGTTGTAGCTTGCTCCCCTCTCTCTCACGCACACCTGTTCTCAGAGCAACTTTGAGCCTTAAATGGCAGACATTTGTCTAAGATTTGTGAACATTTCAGTAAGAACACTGCAGCTCTGAACGCGGCGAGGGGCAAACAGCTGTTCCTCTTCTATAACCATGTAAACAATTCCATCTTCTCAGGGCATTTTGCCAGCAAGATTTTATTTTATTAACTATGGAATATTAGTGCTATTAAAATGGGTTTCAGCCAGATTGATATTTACCTATTGAAATTCTTTTCTAAACCTGTTAGTCTGATCCATATTCCTTTGGAATTGTAGAGTAGAAGCAGAACCGTCTCCCTTTTACCCTCATGTTGTTGATGTAAGAAAAATGCATACTTGCAGAGCACCTTGCTTAAAAGAGGCTTAAAAATCCTACATAAATAGAGTCTGGCCGGTGTGGCTCAGTGGTTGGCGACCCCATGCACCAAGAGGTCACCAGTTCGATTCCTGGTCAGGGCACATGCCCAGGTTGTGGGCCTGATCTCCAGTGGGGGGTATGCAGGAGGTGGCCAATCAGTGTTTTCTCTCAAGAAGTTTCTATCTCTCCCTCTCCCTTCCTCTCTCTCACAAAGAAATCAATAAAGCAAAAAAAAAAAAAAAATCCTACATAAATAGAGCATATGGTTGGCTAATAGGGAATGGGAAAATTTCGTATCTCTTTTGTTTTCCCTTGAGAACTCCCATTTTTTTCTCCTTAAAAGAGTAGAAGGGAAAGAATCATTCATTGACTGGAATCTTAGCCTTCAAATACTCAATAACGGGTTCGTGTCATTGATTTTGTTATCTTCCTGTAAGACTATAGAATTTATATAAAACAGAGTAAGTCTAAGTCCCATTTTATGGAGGGGATCCTAAGAGCAGGCAGACGGACATGTTAACTCTCATACGGAATGAATGGCCTCAGCCATCTAGCACTTGAAAATGAAAACTTCCCATTCTATTTCCTTTGTGTTTAGGAAGAGAATGTTAAAGTCACGATGACACATGAGTACGTGTTATAGGTTAGAGAAGACTGCACTGGTTACAGTAGGCCACTCTGTTTTGAGTATCAGTACTTTTGGATTTTTGTTCAACCTCATATATTATACGTTGTCAGGATTGAACTATGACATCTGTTGCCACCCATGTCTTCAAAGTAGTTTTAGAAATACTAATGTAGCCAAAGGTTAATTTAATTATTTTCTTTTATTCTGTCATGTTCTAATGTTTTCATCTTATCCCCCCCCCCTTTTTATAGTATGTGGCCAGTAATATACAAACCTATAGGTACAAGAAGTGGAGAAAGAAATCTGCTTATATGAACCAAGAATTACTTGGGAAAACATCATGTAAACACGTTAAAAAGGTAAGATCACACGTTGTGCTGCCTGGTGCAGATAAGTGTACAGGAGTGTGTGCAGGCAAAGCCTGCTTCCTAAGAACTTGTAGTTGGCATAAAGAAGTGGTTCTTTGTCTCTCTTGGGGCAAAGGGATTTCAGTCACCCTGGGACATAAAGCCTGTTATTGATGTCAGGCTAAGTCAGGTTACTTGCCTTAAGAGGAACGTCAAGTCTTAGGGTAATGAAGACAACATCTACTTTGCTGAAGAGTGGACTTTTCTGTTATGGCAAATGGGCTTCAGCCAAATATTAAGAAAAATTCACTTGAGCCTCTTACCATGACTTCTCTCTCCTAATCTGCCTCATACTCAATCCTGTCTCCACAGCACTTATCCATCAAAACGAGTCACCTGTCATCCTCCATCTCCTGCAAAGAGAAGCCATTTCAAATACTTTACCTGGAGTGCCTGATTCTCAGCTCACAAGCTGCCATGGAGCTCCTACCCTGTCTTCTCCTAGGGACTCTCCTTTCTGATTGGCTGATTTGCATTCACCATTCAAGTCCAAATATGGCTAAGACCTCTTTCTGGAGATGTTTATTGATCACCGTAATGTTTCTGTTCACACACTTCCTAACTCTGAGTGGTTTATCACTTAGTATTCAACTTTGAGCCTTTAGTATACAAAGTAGGATTTGAAAAAAAAATGTGTGATGAATAAATAATGTTAGCTATAAAAAGGTATTGACAACTTTCCTAGAGGCCCCCTTGCCCCCACTCACTGCTATCAGGCCTTTTATCAGGTTCAGAGGCTCCTTTGAGGGCATTAGTCCTTATTTACCTTAGAAATCAGGATGTTAATTATATGGATAATCAATAGGAATCCAATTTATGATAAGATCTTGATAGTTCATTCTCCCAGCCATGCAGTTTTCAAAAGTTTGGATTTATTTTGG